AAGTGTGACTCTGGGCTGCTCAAAACAACTAAAAATATAAAAATATAAACACAACATACAACTATACTTAAACCACCGTTAAAAATTAAATAAAACATAAAACATATACTAAATTATAAATTTAAATATTCCTAAATATATAGATAGTCCTTGACTTAATCCATTCATTTAACAATGATTCAAAGTTACAACAGCCTCAGAAAAAGTGACTTACAACCTGTACTCACTCTTAGAAGTGTTGCATCACCCTCATGGTTAAAAGTAAAGGTTTCTCCTGTCCTGTCGTGTCTGTAGGGTCAGTGCTCATCTCCGTTTCTTAGCCTAGTGTGCCAGTGTTGTCTGAAGACATTTCCCTGGTCATGTGGCCAGCATGACTATATGCTGAGGTGCATGGAATGCTGTTACTTTCCCACAGAAACGGTACCTATTTATCTAATTGCATGTACATGCTTTCAAATTGCTAAGTGGGCAGGAGCTGGGCAAGTAATGGGAGCTCATCCCATCGTGCAGCACTCGGGTCTCGAACTGTCAGCTTTTCGCTGACAAGCTTGTCATCTTTAAGCCTTTCATGGTTGTGTGACATTTACAACTGGTTGCAGCAATGATGGTGATGTGCAACCTTTTTTACTAATCCGCATAGTGACCACCTGAAATACAGTCACATAATTAGGTCCAACTTGACCTCAACAACTTATGCAGAAATTCTAGCCCCCATTGTGGTTGTAAGTAAAGTTCTACTTGTAAAGCACATACTACAAAGCAATACTGATGAGAAAAATCAGAATATAAAAATCCTAGAATATAAAACTTTTTTCTAACAATGCAAATTCCATAATCCTTTATGAATATTTACACAATTATTCTAAGCGCTAACAATCGCACAGATCTTTATAAAGCCTTACAATTGTTATTTACTCAGAATTTCAGGAAGAGGCAGTATACAAATTCTAGAAAAGTGCTTCTTCATATTTCAGCTGTAGCCAATACTATCTGGGGAATTCTGGGAGGTGAAATTAGAGTAACAGAATAACAGAGTTGGAAGGGACCTTGGAGATCTTCTAGTCAAGCAGGTCTTCTAGTTCAAGCAGGAAACCCTGTACCATTTCAGATAAAGGGTTGTCCAATCTCTTCTTAAAAACCTCCAGTGTTAGAGCACCCACAACTTCTGGAGGAAAATCATTCCACTGTCAGGAAATTTATGACAGAACAATTAATCACTGGAACAACTTGCCTTCAGAAGTCCCATCCATTTTAAAATTGCTGAAGTTGAGAAACTGCTGTAGCATCCCTCCCCCCTTTCTTCCTTCTTCCATCGTCCACAGTTCTTTTGGGCATCACTGACAGAGGTATCTCCAAGCCCATGGCTGAGATGAGAGATCAGTCTCTGCCTTTCATTCTTACCAAGTTGTGTAAAGCAATTAATCCTGATAAGGTATTATTCACTAGGAGTCAATAATACTGACTCAAAGCCACAAATATACATGTATAACATGGAAATTGGGATAGCTGAAGGATGAACTTGTGAGGCACGCAAATCAAACAATGGTCAGATAAGAGGTGGTTTCTTCCACAGAAGAATAGAAACATGACAAACTAGAGACCTTTCCTAGTTTCTTAGACTTTAAAAGTGAGTGGAGAGATCTGTACTTTCAGACTTCAGACTATATTCTGTTAATTTTACAATAAAAGAGAGCTAGTACTTCTGGGTGTGCTTCTTGTCTGGATGACCTCACAAGGTTGACAATGAGAAGAGTTATTTCTGGTCTACCTCACACCTTTAGATTGTTTCTTGCTCCCACCAATATACTACAGGAGCATAAACGTACTGCTTGGTCCATATGATTCAGAAGCTGCCTATGATCTGAGACTAACTGAACTGTTGCCACTTGCTAGAAACACAAGGTGATTGGAAAATGCCCACCACCTAAGAGGGTGGTCTGGCATGACACAAACACTCTTTGAAAGGTCTGTGATGTTGCATATGAGGGTTCCCACCCTCAGATGATGAGCCATGGTATGTTCCTCATTATGAGCATTCAGCTTCTAGGAGCATGTGACATCATGGTCAGGCATGAAATTTCCAACTACTTTTCTACTTGTGTCGATACTCACAGTTGCCGTCAATTTTTAAAAAGTTTTTTATTTTTATTTTTTATCAACATATTCAAATGTACACTCCTTTGTCCACCATTAATCATTATTCATTCATCTTATTAACTTCCATTTGCTAATTAGTTGTTCGAGTCTGCTCTTCTACCATCTCCTTCCTTTAATACCTTTCCTTTTCTTCTTCCCTTCTCTCTCGTCTTTCTACTTTCCTCAATCCTCCTCTCCTTCCCTTTTCTTCCTCTCCTCTTTCCTCTCTCCTCTCCTTTCTCCCTTTCTTACCCCTCTCTTCCTCTTTCCCCTTCTTTCTTCCCCTCCTTTTCCCGTTCTTCTCTTCTCACCTCCCAACTCTTCTCCTTCCCCCTCTCTACTCCTCTCCCCTTTTCCACTCCCTTGTTGCTTTCTTTTTCAATTCAATCTGAGATGGTATTCGAGCAGCCCCGATTTCTATTCACATACATCTTTTCAAATTTCTTTTTTACTTTATAATTATCTCTCTTCTTACATTCCTGTACATTATTAATCAATCCATGTGTCATCTGGGTATAACATTTTTGTGCCCTCATCTTCATAATTTATCATTTCTTAATACATACATTTGTCTTTCCTTTTTCATTTAATTTTAATATACTTTTATATAATATATAATTTTATATAATTTTAATCATCCCAAAGTTCTTATCTTTACCATGTTTATTGTCTATACTCATTTTCTATCCATTGATAAAATTTTCCCCATATGTTATAATTCTCCGACTCTTCTTTCCCTTTAATTGCCAATGTCAACCTATTCATTTCTGCAAATTCCAATATTTTCTTAATTACCTCTCCCTTTGTAGGAATTTTTTCTGCTTTCCAATTTTGTGCAAATACAATTTTCGCCGCCGTTATTACATGTATTATCAAATGTCTAAACAGTTGCCATCAATTTGCTACTAAGCTACATGGATTAATATAAGGGTTTGCTAGCAGAATAAGGGCCCCAAGGTATAGTGTCCTACATGCTGTAGGAAGTTCTCCTAGACTCATTTTTATCCTTCCCCCGCCCCACATCCATTGCTGCCTGCCTAATGAGTCAGACAGTGTAGCATGGCCAGTATTCTTGCGGTGTGAAGACTCATGTCTCCACTGTGCAAGGCACCATTAACTCCCAAACTGCCAACTTATAACACAGTAGTTATGTGTTGCTGCCAAAGACATCAGTAACAAAAGTTGATGAGGTTAGCAGCTATCTATATCAGGTTTGTATTAGTAGGAACTGATTTAGACTGTAAGCACTCTAACTTCTGATGCAGCATATATTTTGTGGCTAGAAATCTAACTTGAAGCCCAACAATATTAAAAGTAGCAGACGTTGCTGAATTGCATGCCCATATACCAGAACAAATGAACTGTAGTGATTAGCATAGTGTGTAAATCCAGAATTCTATCTATGAAGGACAAACTAGTAGCTGAAACAGTTCTGGGCAGGAAAAAGGCCCTTCATATGGAAAAATCCCCCTACACTTAATGCTAACAAGTTTGAAGCATTTTAATAAACTTCTGAGCCATTTATTTTGCTTTACATGTTTAACATAATCTCTTTGCTTTTACACTAAATTTGATTTCATTTTTATTTTTAAATACTTTGAGGAATTTGTACATTGCTCTGGATTCTATGCAATGGGAAGTGTTACAGAAATAATTTTAAACATTGATAGCTGGTATGTGTTTATTACTAAATACATAAATTGCAATTGGTTTCACCAGGGAATACATGGATTTCATGATTTTGCCTTTCCTGTTAACAAATTAAATGTCATGGTAGGCCTATGTAGTGTAATGCAAAATGAAATTATGCAAATGTAGAATAGAATAGTTCTCTAATGAATTTCACAAAATTCACAAGCAGGCAGGCAGGCAGGCAGGCTTCCTGCTTATTAAAAATTTGTTCCAGGCACAACCACTTCTTACTTACTATCTGATTGGATGATCAAAAGAAACTAAAAATAATTCCCCAAGTCTTCATTTGCACAGCTAGATAGGTTTAAACTTGGCATAAACCTTTTAGAGTTAAGATGAAATCATATAATTAGCTATTCTCTAAAATCTGTATACGTCTTCATGTCTGTTAACACCATTGTAACTTTTACTGTCTGGGTAAACGTGAATAATTATATTGGCATTTACAATGTACTATATTTTAAACTGCAGCACAGTTTCTTTTATTGTTTTATTGATTTGTTTTATAGCAGGTCATTTTACTGAATTGTTTTATTGAATATTGTTTGTTGTACTTCAGTGCATTGCTTTGGGTCAGAAAGAAAGGCAGCATAAAAGTATAGCTCACAAAGCATTTTCTTCAGAGTGACTATTCTACTTGCTGTTGGGCCAAAAAGACAGATTAGGGATGGTGGAAGCAATATTCCACCTCAATGATGATAGAAAAGATGTTACCATAAAGGGAATCTGTTTGATCATTTTATATATAGCTTCAGTATGATCATGCCGAAGATTAAATTCCTTAGTTTTAATATCTAAAATTCGGATTAAAAATGTATGCATATCAGCTACAAATACTGAGCAGTTAAAAAAAAAAAAGTCTTCTGCATTTTTTTGCTGTTATCTGATAGTTATCTGGATTTGTGGAGCCCAGATCTGGTAGATTTAATGCATACAATCATTCCTTGGTGTCTATCATTATAGCAAAGCAGAACAACTATTAACATTCAGATTTTAAATTTCTTGATTGGTTTATAATAGTAGCATATTATATTACATATTTGTAGACCGTTTACTTGTAAGATGAAACAGATCTTATAAAACTCTCTGTGCCAAAGGAAGCATTAATATATCACAAGAAATTTCATTTGCATTAATATCTGAATTACCACTTAAAAACATCTCAAGCCTCATCACAAGATAATAGCATTTTATTGGCAGTGGAAAAATGCTTCAGAAATTTATTGAAAGAAAGCAATAAATAATACTGTGATAAAAATAGTTCAAAGTACTTAGACTGTACATAATTTGTTACATTATTCAAAGTACATATAAGGTTAATAGAAAAAATAGTAACAATGAATTCAAGTTGTACAATTTAAAAAGAGCCAAAACCAATAACAGAAAAAAGACATGCCATGTATATTATTGCATAATAAATAATGCACCATGATCTGAATCTCCTCCTTGCTGGCTTCGTAAGATGCTATTTAAAAATGAATGATGCATTTTCTACTTATACTGTTTGCAATGACTAAAACTATTAACAACTAAAAAGTCTGTCTGGATTTTAAAACAAGCTTATAAATATATCTAAAAGATGACATAAGAAAAGTAAGGCCTTTTTAATAGTTGCACTACCACATGCCTCCATGTGTTATGCTCTTAGCATCTTTGTCATTAGGCAGCAGTGCATCATGATTGGTCCATTAAAAGAACTGCATCAATATCTTTTCACAAACATTTTCACATCAAAATACAGAAAGGGAGCACTCTGTGTTGCCTGTCAAGTACTCTTAGTAGCTATTCTTGTTTAACAGAAAATATTTCCATTTATGGCTTGCTTATGCTCAATCAATGAACATAGACTGTACAAATACAGCCACAAAAAGTAGTTATAAATGACCTTGTTAGGTCTCATATGTTTCATAATGTTCTAGAAATTCCCACATTTATGAATGTAAAGCAAATTATACTAAACAAAAGCCTTAAATAAGAATACACACTAAATAATCAAATATTAAGTTTAAAAGGTACAGTTTCTAACGGAAATGGAATCAGGTACCATGCCTGCTTTGTTAATAAACATATGTCTCTCTGAAAAAAAAAAAGGAATTATTTCAATTTTTAGAGCTAGCTAGCATTTTTCAAACGGCAATATATATATACTGCTTGGTGTCATGATGTCTTTACAAAGATTGTAAAAAAATTTCACCTTCACTTTATTAAACTCATTACTGGTAATTACAATAACTGCATAATTTACAATAAAGCCCTATATTACTTATAGGGACGGATACATACAAGCATTACAGTACATTCAGATGAAAATACTAAAATTAACATAAAGTAATAACTTGATTGACAGACAATTCTAATAGAAAATTAAGTAACAATGGGACACACATATACCCACATAAGTATAAGAAACATTTAATCTAAAATACTTTTTATAGTACTCACAAATTCACTCGCTAATTAAAAACTCTGTAATAAAATATTTCAAAGTGTTCATTTAACAAGTATTAACAGTTTAAAGATTTCAGCTGTTTCCAAAATATGGTCATTGAGTTCAAAATGGTTCAGCTCATCTGTAGAAATAGTGGGGATAAACTGAAAGTAAAATGAACATTAATTTCAAAACATTAGAAACTGCAATCAGTATAATGAAACAAGGAAAAGCAAGTATGAAAGAAAATAACCTTCATCTACCACATTTCAATCAAAAAAGAGGAATAAAAAGCTCCCACAATCTGATTACTTGCCATAGGACCAAATTTAATCCCACACCCATTCCCATGATAACTAGCAATATGAAAGACTTCACTTAGGTCTGACAACACTTACAAGCTACAGGAATGGTTATACATTATATTCTCTAAATTTAGGATGATCAGAGCATACTCCATGGAAATTTGACAATTCATTGCTTGGATTAGAATACTTTCATAACAAAAGCATATACAATATAACTATGTATGTGGCTACTTTCCTATACTTGCTACATCTACCAAAATATATTTAGAAGTAGCAAGTATAGTATATTTAGCTGCACCAAAAAGATGTTTTATTTACTGAACCTGATCTACTTAAGATAATAATATTTCTCTAACACAGAATTTTTAATAAACAATGCAATTTATAGCCCATATATATTTGCTGTAATTTACATATAAATCAGGTTTGCTCTGAGAATGACAAACCCATTTCTAATTCATGGAGTACGAGAAGCTTCCTTTGAAGGGGTCAGAGCAATAATTTCTATTCTTTTCCCTTCTTTCTGCTGCAGGTCCCTAACTCCTTCACTGGAGTAGTTATTCAGAATATTTTGGGAAAGAAGAAGTTGGTGAAAGCCACCACCTCAACTTTTCTCTTTCAAGAGTTAAATTTGCAATTGCAGTAACATTAAGTATAACGTAAGCTGGTTATGTTGCACAAAATATGAGTAAGCAAAATATTTAATTTTCTTAGGGCAGGCCTAGACAAGGCTGGGCAAGAAGGGATATGATGAGGTAAAAGATTTGGATTTATTTTCTGTAGCACCAGAGGATAAGACAAGAACCAAGGAGTATGGAAACTTTAGACAGAGAGATTCAACCTTGAAATAAGGAGGCATTTCCTGACTGTGAGAACTATTAAGCTATGGAATGGCTTGCCTCCTTAGTCATGAATCTTTTAGCACTGAGGTTTTCAAGAAAAGATTGGACAGCCATTTTTGTGAGATGGACTGCCAAGGTCCCTTTCGATCTTACGATTCTATGTCAGGATTACTGGTTCATGTAATCAGCAAACTGATTTATAAATTCGTAACTCGGAATATTATACAATGAATTTCAGTTGCCCTAATCTTCAATATGCCACAGTCATTGGAGTAAAACTTCGAATAAAATAAATGCATATTGTTCATCAGTTTGTCACTTTTACTTACCAATGAAAGTCTTTAACATGAATAAGTTCTTATTGTAGCAGAATCCAATCTTTGTGTTGCTGATACATTGCCTATTTCAACAACAATCAAGAAGACATGCAGAATATAGCATGCAGTTAGTATTACACAAGAAAGTTACAAAAGGTTAACTATGAAGCATTCCTGGTTATGTTTTCGCTTTTCCAAGCTTCAGTATATATTTGAAATCACTTCATAAAGAGCTCATAAATTTTGAACATACTGAATGCATGATTATTAAATGGGTTTTACTGACTGAGCTATACATCATCCCCATTCATCTGAGCAGGCTAAAATAATTTAGTTTCTCATCACAGTGTAAAGAGCTAAAGCTAAAAGGCAGAACACATGGTTTTGTATATGATCCTGGAAATCTCCAGGCTGGGAAAGACTCCTGTTTGAAATCTTGTAGTTTTAGTACAAGATAGCACAGTATTTATTTTTTATATATAAAATATTTTTATATGTAAAAAATAAAGCTTACAATTCTGATCCTAGTAGACAAAAGCTGGAGATAGGTAGTTAAAAGTCCAAATTACCAGGCAGATTTTGTAGCCCCCTCACCAACCAATAGAGATTTAATCACTGCCTGCAAAAAGCAGTCTCTAGGATGTTAACAACACATTGAATAAGATATGTATTACAGGTTTTAAATCATTTACTATTCATTTTTGTTTCATACAGACTTTTTTGTCTTCAGAATTCTTTGATTTCTTTAGTATTAGAAAACTTGAACTTGAGAACAGTATCAATATGTGCGTATAATCTTTTTTTAATGCTTTGCCCTGATGAACTGGACATTAGGTTCTATAGAAAATAATTAAATATATTTTGAAATTGTCACTCTTTAAAAATTAATGATTGACTGATAGGTAAAACTTTTTTATTTGGGGCTGAATGACTTCAGGTAGTTGGGAAAAAATGAAAACAACTGCAAATTATCAAGATGGGAATCAAAAAGCAAGATAATAAAAGTAAAATAAAGATGACCAAAATAGGGCTATCACTAAGAGGAAAATTATAGATCTGATTTTTAAAATAACATTTTAACATGCTGCTGAATGCTAGGAACAAGTGGTCCATAATTTTCTCCCATTTGCGTTATTACAATCTGCTCTCTGTTGGCCTGTCCTTGCATATAATTCAAAAACTGCAGTTAGTGTAGAGTGCAGTATAACAAGGTTGTTATCCAGAAGAGGCCATATAATACTGGTCTTACAAAAATTGCACTGAGTACTTTTATTTTGCTGGTTGGAGTTCAAGGCTGCTGTAATATTGATTAAGGCCCTTCATAATTTAGACTGGTATCTGAAGGATATGCACCTGTCCAAATTTTGAGGACCATCCTCGGCACCTTAAAGGTGTGAAGAGTGTTGTGCTAGAAGGGCTTTTCTTTGTCATGGCTCCCAGCTGAACAACCCTATCTCTGGACACTGATATCTTCCTTTCAGTGTCAGATGACATTGCCTTTTACTCTCTCATTGAAGATATAGTGTCTATAGACTGACTATGCCAGTAATAATAATTTTTTTAAATTACTTCTCTGTACAATAATCCTCCATTTAGGAAAGTTTAATGATGGTTCAAAGTTATGATGGACTTGGAAAAAATGAGTTACAACCCATCCATGAAATTAGGACTGTCGCACCACCTCCCTGGTCATGTGATCACAATTTGGTGCTTAACAACCAGATCACATTTACATCAATTGCAGTATCTTGGGATCACGTGATCGTGATTTGCAACCTTCCCAGCCAACTTCAAAATCAATTGGCGAATCTGAATTCACTTAACAACTGCGTGATCTGCTTAATGACAACAGTTAAAATGGTTGTAAAATTGGATCTGATCATGTGATGATTATCTTGACCATCACATCACTTAGCTATCAAAATTCCAGTGCCAACTGTGGTCATAAGTCAAGGACTGCTTGTACCATATTATCTTGCTCTTTAATACATGACACAAGGCATTTTGAATAATAATGGACTATAAATACTTTCAATAAATAAATACCAAATTATATTTTAACATTTCCCTGAAAAGATACATTGAAATCATCTTAATTCAGCAGTAAGCTGATAAACATTTCCATTTTTATACTTTTTCTTTTGTAAAAGGGATTTGTAAATGATAGAAGATTTCATTAAACAGAATACATGGATTAATACTAATGGAGCACAAAGTACAAATACCACAATCATTCACTGAGAAATTAAAGCAATCCAGTAAGTCATGCAGAGTGAGTTTTCTACACAAAACAAATATTTTTCAGTTCACTTACAAATTAATTTAGAAATAGATACCATGCTTAAATAATTTAATATTTTACCATCAATCTGCATCTTCTTTGGTTGCATAGAAGGTGAAGACATTGAAGTGGTAACTCTAAAATTTGCAGGGAGGGTCTCTGCTGATCCAGCAGCTAAACCCCTTATGTCCTTTGGTCTGAACTTCTTTCTCCATGAAGGTGCACGTCTAAAGCTTTTATCATCATCCTGTCAAATTAACAAGCAGGATGAAAAGATCATACTAGAAAATGAACAAGACACTACAAAATTTCTGTACTTGTAATACATTACGGATGATTATGACAGGTACTGTAGCTGTATCCTTGAAATATACATTTACATTTTACTGGCCTTTTTACAAGAATTTACGGTCAGATTTTTTTTTTTTCAAATCCTAATAATATTCCTCTTTCTTTTTATAAAGATAATTTATTGCCATATATCTTAGTACTTAAAGTGAATCATTTTTTCCTTATCTAGTCTCATAAACAGTAACAAAAAATAGAATTACCAGTTCGTATGGTAAGTAAGTTTTCTGCTTTTTGCTACCAAACTTGATCTCTATGGGTGGTATACCAGCACTTACATTCTCATAGAAGGGATAATGAAGTGTTCTGCATCTGCTTCTTTTAAAAGTTATGGGATCAACAATCATGATGTTGATGTTGTGACTGATTTTATCTGCATAACTTGTTACTGCAATTAATTGAGATTTCTACTCAGATTCCTCAACCTTTGTAAATAGCTTAACTAAGGAAGATGTGGGCATTAGGGTGGGAAAAAAAATACAAAGTAAATTTTGCTACCAGGATTGTCACAGATTTGAAGTTTGAAGAAGAATTTTACTTGGATCTTCATATCCATTTCTATTTTATACCACTTGCGTGTCTTTTTTTTCCAGTGGACTCACTTTCTTAGAATATTATAGGACTGATACAGTTTTATGGCTGAATCCAAAGCATGACCCCAGATTTTGATCAGCTGGTGTTTAGTCAAAACAGCATGAGATATACAGTATGAAATCTTGAGAAACTACTACTGCTTTTCTTCTTCTCAAAAAATCTGCTGAGAATTGGAATCTGTTTGTAGCTAATGAAATGGAAATTTGAATGCATTTATAGAAAGAACAGAACAATGAAAAATCTTGAAGATAAAGTGATACTGAACATGTAGTGAAGAAAGCACATTATATAAAACGTTCTTTAAAATTAAGGAAACAAGTTATCTGAATTATTTTTGATCACAATGAGTCATTTTGCCTGAATTAGTAGGTACTATTAATTCTGGGCGCTATAATAGCAGAAAGAACAAAGATGGACCATTAGTTATATGAAAACCTTTTTACCGGTAGTATGTCTTTCTGCAGTGAATAGGGTGTCACATACTTCAAAATCTTTCTGTAAAGAAAGATTTGATGCAGATTATTTTGGCTGCCCATATAAATAATAATACGCTGATAGACTCATAAAATTAAACTTACCTCTTCAAACTTTCTGTCCGTACCCATCACAAGAAGATTATTAAATTCCCTCTCCAAAACAGCACGAGCCTAAATTAAAAATAATCACAAAACTTAAAAATATTTCAAACATTTGTGCTACACTTTGAGAATTTAGATTTACAAAATTTATATAATTTAAATAATGTCCAAACAAAATAGTATTTTTCCAGATTTATATCATTTTTCAAATACTTAAAAGAATATCATATAAAAAGGCAAGACTTGTTTTCTCCCTTTTCAGAATGCCAAACTTAGAATAATCGGTTTAAATTGCAGACTGGAAAAATACTTAATAATTACTGTTGACAAGTGCGACTAATTAGCCGAAAGTTGGTAAGCTTCCCTTCACTGGATAGAAGCAGAAATTAGCCAGCCATCTAACTAGATCAGGAGTATCAAACTTGCATGTCATGGCGGCATCATGTGATGTATCTGGACTTTTTTCCCCTTCCCTAAACTGGGCAGGGGTGGACGCATCTGACCATGAGTTTGACACCCCTGAACTAGATTATTTAGTTGGGGTTTCTGCATTGAGCAGGTATTGACCATGATAACCCAAATGTCTGCTTGCAACTCTATGATTTACAACTACTTACATATTTACAACTATGATTTAAAACTATTACCACCAGTGAATCTGCTTTGCTTCCTGACTGTCATAGCTCTCACATAAAACACAACAACAAAAGTAAAGTTCAGGCATGTCAGATTTTAGTATGAAGTCTTCTTTAAATAGTTAATTTAAAAAATTCTCATTCATAAATCTTATAAAGTTCCAAGTGTGCCTTATGAATAAAAACATACCCCATCAAGTGATGTTATTATAATTACCTGTGTATTCTGAGTGGGTATTTGTAAAGAAAGAGCTAATGCATTGTGATCAAAAGTTTCATCTAAGGCCAGAAGTGCACCATGAACTCCACTTTCTATAAGGTTATTTGCATATTCTTTAAGGCCAATTGATACCACCCAGTGAATCATCCTGTCATTGCTCCAAACAAGGACATCTATATGAGGAAAAATAAATATTTAAGTCATAAAATAATCAATCATGTGTACTTGCCAAAGATTAAAGGATGAGTAGACATTTCTATACTATTCAATAATACAAGATTCAGTGGAATCTCTAGCTGCCTTCACTGATTTCCCCTTCTGGTACCTCCCATATTGTTGCAGAAACTTTCCTGAACCCCCAAAGCAAATCTGCAGAAGCACATAGAGTTATAGATGGAAGAGATGGCAAAACTAGTTCTTCTCTTTCTTCCAGTGGAACAATCTTAATACGTTTTACCAGTAATCTGAACAAAAGCCCAACAGTTACAAGGGGGGTGGGGTAGAGAATGGATAGATGGGTTATTGTTGTACTGAATATCAAAGTTCAGAAAAAATAGTTTTACACATTTGGACTTTGTGCTCATATGGTATACAATTTATTTGACAGAATATTTTCATATTAACCACAATTTGTAGTTCAAATAGAAGTGAAAGTACTTAAGGAATGAATTCACTTAAATGTTTTGGCATTAGTACATTATAATTATTTTATATTTCACCAGTATTTCTTATAAGTAAGTAAGTAATAAGTAAGTATTTCTTACTTGCATTTTAACAATAGATGACAAAAAGTTATAATTGATACATTCTCCAAGTTTTATTAACTGCACTACAATACTGCTAATACAGTTTTTTGTAGACTAAATTTTTTAAAGAGTTCAGTTTATGCTCATTTTACATATATCATGGTTCATCAATCATGCTAAGCCTTGTTTAGGCTTAGCATAATGTGTGAAGCCAGCTATTGTGGATTATTATTATTATGCGCAGAAATAAAATCCTAGCTTTGTAGACTACATGAATGAAGCCATTAAATAAAGCATAAGGGAAGGGAAGGATATTTAATAGATAGGAATTCCATGGACATATTAATCCCCTTTCTGGCTCTACACCTGAGCTGCATTTGATTGCACCAGAAAAAGCTTTCTGAAAACTGGCAGAGTTGTGGAAGACAAGTTTCGTTGTTCAGGATGTATTATACACCATTAATAAGCCTGAATTACTTTATAGTTTATTGTCTCAATCTGCTTAACATAAACATTTTAAGAACAAAGATATTATATACTGGTTAAAAAAATTGAACATAAGATCAATAAGAAGCTAGGCATCTTATGTTAATTCTGCATAAAACCTAAGAAGCATCTTTGAGAATATTTACAACTATACAGTCTTTTAGTCAATAGAAAACAATTGAATTAAGATAACTTATTATTTATTATATTTATCACATATATTTCCTATCCTTTTTTATTAATGACTCAGGGGGCATACTGTACCTATTGCTACCCCCAAAACAACCATCCTGTGAAATAAGTTGGACACTAAAACAAGGACTAGTCCAGGGTCACTCAACAAGTTTGTATGCCTAAGAAAAGATTAGAATTCAGTCTCCTGTTCTCTAGTGTAGTGCCTTAACTGCTATGCTAAACTGGTTTGGTGGTAAAGTTTGAACATTTAATAAATTATTAACAGTATCAAAGCCAAAGAAGCAAAAGTCTACCTTTAATTTCATTCAGGCTTCCTTCTCTTCTTCTTTCAAGTTCTTTCCGGTCATAATTTAATCTTCGGAGACACATAATGCCACACTGGAAGCTATTTCTTTAAGTGTTTTAAAAAAAAGAGAGATTAAGCACTGTGATTGAAATGTTTATTATTAATTACTATTTTAAATATATTTACCTGTGAAAACTGTCTACCATTTTAAGTTGACCACGAAGATCTTTTTTAGTTAAATGATCCAGCATTCTAGCATCAACAAGGCATTCCATAAAATAACTGCGATACTGAGGAAGCCCCAAACTAGGAAGCCATTCATTGCCAATCCATTCGTGGTTCATATCACCATAGGCTAAAGTCTACAAAAAATACAGCAAAGGGTTATTTGAAATAAGGAACTTTTATATATAAATCGGGGACTGAATCCAGCATTTTTCTCTACTATAATAGGAACTGCTGTAAGCAGAGTCTTGTTTTTCTGACAGAATAAAAATGTTAACGGTTCTAGTTTTTAATCCCTTAGAGCTCCTAGCATACTGGTAGTTAAAGAAGCAATCTCCGAAGCATATTTTTAAATGATATATGGGATTGGAGGGTAAAACTGAAAAAGATTGCTTCCCCTCTGTTCACCTAGAAGCTTCAACAGATCAAAAATATTTGCAAAAGAGTTCTGCTACATTTACCAAAAGTCAATACAGAAAGTTTCATTTGTGGCAAAATTCACACCTTAAAATTTAAATCTACCTCACACTACTTTTATTATCTGGTGTTCACTAAAAAACAGATGAAGTATACATAGGAGATGAATCTCCATCTATATCCTCCGAGATCATATCAAACAGGAGTAATTCTCTAATATGCATCCATTCCTGCCTAGAAATATACATTAGCTTTTCCCATTTCATATATTTACCACCTACTATTAAAAAATAAGTAGAAGCTATTATTAAAAGAAGCCTAACATCTTCTGATTCTGGAAATTCTAACTATTTATATAATCTCAACTCCCAGTTTTAAGAATGCATGTTGATTTATTTATTCAATTTCTCAATCAATGACTCTGGGCAGCTTACAATTCAATTCAATTTTATAATTTTTGCAGATTTAAAAAAAAAAACACCTGTCAGTTAAACATCAGGAGGTAGAATGTCTCACTGCGAGACAATTCTGCATTGCTTACAAGGTTAAACATTAAAGCCATAAAAATTTACATATATATTTAAAAATTTAAATTTATTGTTTTTAATATGGTAAATCAACCAGAGTCACCTTGCAGAGAGATGGGCAACAAACAAATTTAATAAATAAATAAATGTCAATTTCTAAAGTCTCTTAATATTTCAAAAATTATTCTGAATATGAATATTTAAATAAGTATTCTGAAGAAAAACTGATTGATGTACTTCTGTTAAATATATAAATAAGCACTGAAAATTAGATTTTATGATTTAATAAATTTTAGCTAAAGTTTAAACATGTAAAAGAAAAGTCTCCAACCTGAGCCCAGCTTCTTTCCTCATCTTCCTGACGTTAGGTAATTAGAAAAAGTAAAAGGACATACAGATGTTAGTATTTATAAGTTTAGTAATTTAAGTAAACACAAGGTCATGACCACAATCCAGGGGGCAAAGGAACTAAATAACCATGTAAATCCTTATAAAATTATTCTTAATAGAAATTTTATCGCTGCATATTTTACTAAGTGTACTTATCTATCCCCAAACAGTAAATATTTTTGAGTATAAAATTATTCTCCTGGATTGTGGTCATATTTCAATAGTGAAAAAAGCAACATGCTATTTCAAGATAAAAGAACCATGCATCCAAAATTGTGCATATATGCATCTCTCTTAATATATTTATACCTTCAGGAAAATTGAAAAACCACATACTGCTTTATTTTTCCACACAAGAAGTAATCTCTATATAAAAACTCAAGGAAAAATTTAAGTAGTGGCATCTCATACAAAATTAATGTATTGATCTTCTTTGAAATAACGGTATAGACAGGCAAATGTTCTATTCTCCCTTCACCTACACAATGATCTTGGTGGAAAAACATTTTACAGCATGGCTGATAAGTGGGTTAGTTATTAAAATCAATCATAATCAGGAATCTAGTTATATTAAAATTTCTATTTTTCCAGATGTACATGATTCAAGCAATCAAGAAGTAGGAACACTTCCACAACTAACCGTTTGTGGTGTAGATGTAAGATTTTCCATTTCTTCATGCGTTACCCAGACATTTCCTGTAGTCTAAAATGACCCCATAGTGAACCAATCACATCCAATGAAAGGAAAGCAGTAACAAAGAGGAAAGGTTGCAGAATATGTAAGCAACAGGTGTGTTTAAGGAGCAGGCATGGGCAAAAGCAAGTTTTAAGACTATTAAGTATAAGCTCATGTGAAAAGCAAGCCCCACAGGTAATACATTTATCTCTATTACATAACAAAACTATATTTAAATATAATTGTAATAAATACAATTGCTATATTAGATTTCCAGACATGATATTTACACTGAGTATTTCAATTAGATTTTGGAGAATGCTTCAGTTGCTTCTAAGTTATTTGCCACAAACATCTATTTTTTCATCCGGAAAAATAAGATACAGTACTTTAGCAGTTCTTGTGCACATTCATCTCACATTTTCTAGTTTATCGTAATATTCTAACAACAAAACTGTGATTTGTAATCCTGGATTTAAGAACAAGTACAAACCACATTTTACTATTGGTAGTAGAACACAAACAGAACGTATTTCATTACAAATCAGAAAGTAAGTATAACATGCAAGTTCAAGATTTAATTATGTACCAGTAAGCCATTATTTGACACTTTACATTAATCACCCCAGAGAAATGACAAGTTGGCTTTTAAGATCCAATTATTCTTTAATTGATTGTCACCCAATTTTCTTTCAAATCAGTCTTTATCCATAGTTATTTTCATAAGAAGAACAGTCATCTTGAATCCTGTCATCCAAATATTTTTAAATTACAGTTCGCAAAATATCCAGTTAGTCTAACTATTAGCAATGTTAGCTGGGAAATGAGGAAATTGTAGTCCAACAGTTTTGGAAGAAATATGATTAGGGAAAGCTATGCTAGCCCTTACTTGCTGGAGGGGAGATGCATATACGCAGCCAGAATAAATACCAATTCAGATCTGGATGCATATCCACATTACAGTTTTCATCTACTTCCCATTGAATTTGCTGATGCTAATCACACAGTGATCATTACAAGTAAAATGAAATTAAAATATACTGGACAAAAATACTAGAATAAATGCACTATGAAATGTATCTAATTGAAATTTACCAATGGTGGCCCTTGCTTACTAGAATATTACTTGGATAAAATGGTAGTACTATTTGCTTTATCAAAGTACCCATATGTAAAGTATTTGGCATGGTAAAGTATTTGCCATCTGATTTTGGCACACGTCTTACATGAGCAGGAAAGGGACTTTCAATTTCCTAAGAAAGCCTGTTAAATTTATCTCTCTTTTTTCTATCCTGCATATCTCATCCTGCATCATTGTAGAAAGCTACTGATCCTCAGGAACAGATTTGTGGCAAAGAAGGTGAATACATGACAGAAAAACTACAGTAGGCATAGTTCCACTGAATCCAATCTGTTCTGGATTCAGGTCAGTAGAAATTTAAAGCTAAGGTCCATAACCACTACTTGGTCTCAGTAGCCAAAAGTAAACTTCATTCCTTCACTGTATTATCATGTTTTTTAAAATAAACCTCTCTTCCCTGCAACATACCCTAAACATTGTAGTAAGACAAACCAGGTTGCAATCCTTTCTTTAGAACTAAGTTGGAAGACTGTCTACTACTTCACTTTCAAAGTACTTCAGTGGCCTTGCTCACCAGAGAAATTGTATGTCAGCTTTTAAATTATAAGTAGCTTAAGAAAAAACTAACAAGTTATTACAGACTTATTTAAGCAGTTTATTTCTTATCATTTTCTTCTTAATGTTCTCACAACGCCTCTATTTTTTTCTCTCAAGAGCATTTTCTTATTCAAGAGAATAGCTTATGCCCATAACAAACGTGAACGGGTAGAAAGTCTGATTTTCTCATCAATCTCTTTATGTCATTGTCCAAGTTCTCTTACCGTTCTTGATGTAGGAGGAGCCGATGGACTTGTTAGTGACATAATTTCTTGTATGGCAAGTCTCAGTTTTAACCTATGTAAAGGATTACTGATTCCAATTTCACGCTGTATTTCAGTATCAGATAAGGCTGACATTATAGCACCACTTTTCACATTTGCACGGCAAGCAGCCACATACCAAGCTGGCATCCCAACCCACAACTGAAAAATAAAATAAAAAAAAATTACAATAAGGTACATAATTACTTTAACGTTGCAAATTAAAGGCATTATTATGTTGAATTGAAAACATTTCTTACCTCTAGCCAGACAACCACCGTGGGGCCATCCCACTGAGCAAAAGGCAGACCCTGCCTCCGAGCTTCTTCAAGAAGTTCATGCCTAAGAAAATCAGCAACGTATATTAATATATTTGCTTCACTACTGCCCTCTATAATCTTTCTTCTTTCATTAAATTTATCACACATCATTGGAAGCTGCAAATTACACCCCGCCCCCAATTGAGTAGAACTGTAACATCTGTCCCTTTAAAAGTCAAATAAGTCATGAAGGAGAAGTTTCCAACCTAAGTTTCCTTAATATATTAGAACTTACTTTTTCTGCAGTTTTCTATTCTTTTCTGCTTGTCCTCCAAGTTTTCCAAGCCCCAAACCATCCTGAGCTGAACTTTCTGCTTCTAATGCACTAACTGTAAGAAACAGGAATTGCAGTGAGAAATATCTTCTCCAATGTTTTTGAATTAGTGTTCAAAACATACAAAGGGGAATGGCACATCTCTATCATTATGCCTGCTGTCCAGCAATCAATGCATTGCTATCCTAATTATTTAATGACTTTAAATTCATATTATTAATGAATTTAATTCATATGTTAACTATTGATGCTACATACATTGTTGGGGGAATTCAAATAATTAAATTCAAATACATAATTCATTTTTGGAATACTTAATGAAATGTAGCCCTTGAAACTAAAGTAATTGCACCCTCCTAAAGATCTGGCATGACCACTTGAAAGGTCTTCCCTAATTATCTTTGCAAATATGTGCAAATATAGAAGACACTTTGCTGGGAGTATTGCTTATGTGAGAGGTCCCGTGAATTATAGCAGCTCAAGTATAAAATGTTTATGAACATTCAGACCATAAAAGATCTGTACCCAAACTAACATCACAAAAATTAGTACTTTCACACAAAATCATATAGTTAGTAACTGCCTTTGATCCATGGCTTTGGTACATATCTGAGAAACAGCCTTTATAATTATCAGTATCAATAGGAGAGTTAACAGTATTATTTACGTTAGGTTCTGCTAATTTGAATAATGTAGACTCTACAAGACAACGGTCTTGCTACAAATAGATTATTATTTTTTACTTCACATATTACAAATAAGTACTTTGTGTAATAGTAATCCTAGCATTTATTCAACTTTATATTTTGGGTTAGTAATATACCAACCTTGTCCCAAGAGCTCTTTATTCATCTGTCCAGATCGACCTTTTTCTTTCTTACCAAACAGGCGGCCAATTGACGATTTGATCCCCTTCTTTTTAGGAGCTTTGTGGAGGGAATCTTGACTGCTATTACTGCTACTGGGATTGCTTACTTGTCCATCTTGAGAGCCTGTGGAACTGTAGAATAGAAATTATTAAGCCATTTCTAAGTATTCGTTACCCATGCCTACTCTGATCCAGGATCATTCAGCTAATAAATAATAAATACAAATATATTTAAATGACACAGTACACATTCAGCCTAATGGTTTGAGTGCAAAGGAAATACAAATGAAGACCATATGTTTTTAATTAATTTAATTAATTAATTGATTTTAAAATAAATTGACTTGATGTTTATTAAAAGCAAAATAGGATTTTTTAAAAGAAAATTTCCACATAAGTTTGAAAGCACTCAGTTATAACATCGCCTGAACTTCTACCATTTTTATCATTTTTATAATCCAATAGAAACATATAAATAGAGAATCCATCTATATAAATAACTATAATTACTACTGTGGATTCTTCCAGATAATTGTATTTTAAATAGTTATGGGAAATTATTTATTTCTGGTTTATCTTGTTATTCCACTGCAGTTTACTACTGTTATTATTAAAACATTTCTAAACTGTTTTGGTGCTAACAAAGACCCCTCATTAATTTATAATATAATCAAACCCAATCTATTTATTAAAATGCTATTAAATAGAATTATATTAACACAAAAAAACCCAGAAAAGCTGCAAAGTGTCAACTTCAGTATGTGAATTAAGCAAAAATTAAGAAAATCAGATGGAATAAGATTACTAGCAAAGCAAGAGTACTATAATCACTTTCAGATACCATTTCCATAATCAAAATACTTCCAGATATGGTTCTAAAATTATCCTCTTCTGTTTTTGAACTGGTAAAGCCATCAAAATGGGAAGTTAACACAAAAGGAAGCAGTGTTGCAATTATTCAATCCCAAAGCTGCTTAAAGTCTTAGGTGATAAATTTAAATGTTTTATTAAGAATCCATTTAGATCTTATGATTAATTTTAAATAAACAAAAACGCTCCAAGTCAGCACCCAATTGAATGGGATTTTTCTCCTAGTACTGTGCTTAGCATTGCAGCTTTAGTCTGATATCTGAAAGTCATGGAAATTATGAAATTTGCCACAAATAAAAAGCACATGTTTTCCATCTTATCAAAGAATGTGCGGACAAAACATTATGTTAATACAGAAAAGGGAAGAGCACTGATACTGGGAATGAGAGGGTACAATGCCTCAAAAAATATCTCAAATATTCTAGAAGACAAACTGCCAACGAAATAAAGGCCTGCACAAATGGGCAAGAGATAAAAAAAGACCAGTGATAAAGAGAACATTTAGAAAACAGGAAGCAGTGCAAACTGGTCTTTGGAAGCTAAAGGAATAAATGATATAATCATACAAAGTTGTTTTTAATACAGATCTCTATCTTTATTCAAAACACTTACTTTCGAACATCTCTTATATCTTCTTGGCTCATTGTATGCAAAGCTCCTTTATAAGATTTATCCAAATGCAGTGATCGAGGTGAGGCTGGCGGTGAGGTCTCACATTTTATTGTAGCCTTGTCATCTCTAATTTCTTCTCTAGAAACTGGAGACTAAGAAAGAATGCAACTTAAGTATGTCTTGTATCTTAAATTGTGAAAACAGACCAGTAGCAAATTTTAACTATTACAAATTTCTTTGTCTTAGAAATTGCCCTTTCCATACGTGATTAGATAAATTATCTGACTCAACAAAGCTATATATAAATAAGACATGTTTATATATTTTTTATCATAAGTAGGCATGATAATGCACAAGGAACAATCTATCTTGCAACTGATCTATATACATTTGAAATTGCTTTTAGAAGATCTGAAGTGACTTCCTGAAATTAATAGGTAGAATTCAAAAGAGTGTTTTACCACATTTCTTTTTCTTAAAACTTTCCATAAGATAGAAATTTAGAGATTTGAAGTAAGGCCTTTTTAAGTAAATAATGTTGAAATGTGTATACTGTTTTTTCACCATTGAGTGCATCACTATTACATTTATTTTTAATCTTTCAGGAATTCAAGTGATCTGAAGGTTTCTGAAGATAAAAGACAAGATATTTTCAAGAGAGTATATAATAAGAAGGGATACAAAATTAGATCCCATGTTTCTACAGCCAGTTCGCCCAAAGAAATCAGAAAAAGAAGAGTTAAAGTGAAATGTACTATAATATGAAATTCAGACCTTCCACTACCCAATTATTCTCTAGATTGAATTCAAACATAGCTACATGTAAAAGTCAAAATGATTTCCATTTCATTTTAGTAATACTTACTGAAATCTGATTTGGATAATCAGAGGTTAGATAACATGATGCTGCCATTGCTCTTTTAAAGAAATCTAAAGCAGAGAAATGGGATGTACGAAAATCCTTACTCTACATATAGGGTTTCAGCCTATAATGTACCTTTTAAATTATTTTATTCTTTGAAGAGCAAGAGCATATAAGTACACTACCCAGTTTCTCTCTCTGCTTTTGAATGAAGAAAAACTTAGTGGAATGTATGTATCTGGAGAATAAGCAAACAGCAAAAATGGACATATAGAAATAATTCACATAATATTCCTACAGTAGTCATATTGATCAAGGCATTTCACACACACACACTGCATGCAAACAATTGCATAATACTAGATTCAACATAAGTCTCCTGTTGAAGGTTTACCTTTCTATGGTGTTTCCTTAAATCACTAGGCTGACAGATGCATGCAAAGAAGAGAAAGTAAAATAAAGCAAATTGGTAGATAATTTTAATTTAAAAAGAATTAACATAACCTTCTACCATTACCATTATTCTACCATTAAAGTGAGGTAAAATATCTAGTTAGCTTTTTGATTAAATCATTATACTAATCAGAAAATACCCGAGTCCTAAAAGCATGGCTATAGTTTGTAGGATTTTCCCCCCATTCCAGACAGATTAAATATAATCAATCTTGGAGGTCAGTCTTAAGGGCTAGTAAACAATAGAAAGAATTCTTTAACTGGAGGAGCACAATTATATTTTTATCATAAAAGCACTTGGATCCTTAATAACTAAACATTTCAATGAAAATACATTTTTATAAGTATGAGGATTCTTGGGGATCTTGTAAGAATAAAGACTGAAGCAAAGATACTGTTCTAGTTGTTATACAAGAGAAGCAACAGCTATAAAGTTTCCATTAAATCAACCTTAACACTTGGTAACTTCACAGACACATTTAAATCAATGGGAAAGTGATTCCTTATTGCTTTCCAAGATCCCAATCTAATCTATTTTCCTGGTATTCTGGAGGCCTTCCATTTAAATACAGGTAGACCTCGAGTTATAAGAGTTTATTTAGTGACCGTTCAAAATTACAACGCCATTGAAAAAAGTGACTTATGACTTATTTTCACTTACAACCGTTGCTGCATCCCCATGGTCATGCAATCAAAATTCAGATGCTTGGCAACTGATTCATATTTATGACTGCTACATATCCTGGGTTCATGTAATTACCTTTTGAGATCTTTTGAAAAGCGAAGTCAACTGGGAATGCCAAATTCACTTAACTGTGTTAGTAACTTAAAACTGCAGTGATTCACTCAAAAACTACGGCCAGATTGTAAAATGGGGAAAAACTCACTTAACAAATCTCTCGCTTACTAACTGAATTCTTAGGCTTAATTGTGGTGGTTAAGTCAAGGACTGCTTATACTAACTAGGTCCAACCTAATTTAGCTTAGTCAAGAGGGAAAAAGAATTTAGGACAAGTTGCATTTTGCAAAACATAGCTAAATCTACAATTCAGAACTTGATGAGGCCATTTAAGTTGCTAAATTCCATCACTCCCTACCTGTAGAGCTCAATTCTTAAAAGATTATTATAAATTATAAATAAAAGATTATTATAAATAATTATAAATAATTATTTTTTTAAAAAACAAAACCCCAAATATATTGTAGAAAAGCTGCTAGTAATATCAAAGAAAATAAACCAGATTTCATTAGATATAATTTGCTACCAGTTCTAAACATAAGCTAAATCTTAGGTTAAAGTCCTATCAATATTTCATAATGAAAAAATATTTGCCTTTCATAATCAAGACACAGAGGCAGTTCAAACGGCCATAACCTGACTCATAAACTGACAGGGTGGATTTGATTTAAATCGAGTTGATTTAAATCACAATTTAAATCATGATTTAAATCACTAGTAAAAAGGCTTGATTTAAATCAACTCAATTTAAATCATAATTTTTAAAGAGCAACTGTCATCTCTGCTACTCCTTTGACCCACTGTTGACTCCTCGATAGTCCCAGTGTTGCAGAATATACAGCCTCATGCTACATAACTAAGCTCCATTTCATGCTGAATAAACTAAATTATTTATGTATCTTACATAGAAAACTATCTTACGATAGATTTTTTACCCCAAAAGTTTTTTATTAAAATAAATTCGATAAAAATAAAAAAAAAATCCGATTTAAATTTTAAAAAATCTGGTTTTTTTTTATTTTTTTTAAAAAATCATTGATTTTTATCCACCCTGTAAACTGATATGTCTCTGTGTATGTACAATCAGGTTTTAATTTGTGCACATAATTTCTTTGCTCTTTTGCATAAAATATGATTAAAGAAGTTAGTGTTAAGGTTACTAACTTCATAACTACTTTCTTGTAAGACAGGAAATCATGGCTAGGGGGTTTGCTGTTTTTTATTTATCGCTAAGGGATTAAATCAAGGAGTTCCATTCATAAACAGTGCCATAATCACCATGTAAAATGGGGAAAATACTAGAGATGTATTTTCTTACAGAGGGGAGGAAAGAGAAAAGATGAAACAGGAAATACTTACTAATGTCATAATTCCTAGTCTGTCCACTTCTCGAGCAGGACTGTGTGGCATTCTTCGAGGAGTAGAAATCCCACTACCAGGTGGAGAGGAGCCAGAAAGATTTCCACTAGGAAAGGGAGGCGGGATAGAGTTCATTGATCGAAATCGACCAGGATTGTCTAAACTCCCACCATCAACACGACTTTCTATCTCCTCTGCTCTTTGCTCAGTGTTTTCCTTTTCTTCTTGGATCAGTCTAAAGAATTAAGAAATGATGCAATTCATTTAACCCAAGCAACACTGCAACCAGCAAGTACAACAGTTGGCATATGTAGAAATGTATCTACATCCCAATGGCAAATTTGGGAAAGGATACACATTTAAACTCCAGGCAGAACAAAAGTAAATAACTACAATCTACATGCTGAATTTGTTTATCAATATCTGTTATATTACTTTAAGTATACTTTCATGTAATATGAAATTATTGAATTGCATGATTAATCTTAGGATCTGTGTAGAATTGCTTGATACAGTTGCAGGAATAAAATAGCAACATAAATTTCAAATAAAGACCACTGAAATTATTCCATTCTGTACAAACTTCAGTCCATTGGAGTTAGATGGCCAATAAATTTAAAAATATAAATACAATTATCAATTAAGATAAAAAATAATTTATAATTAAACTGACTTAGTAAAAATACACCTTAGCAAGTATTTTTCTTAAAGTTTCACTGACAATTACAATTAGTTGGGATAAATAAGTTGTGGTATCTCTTTATATATGCTGTATTACAAATCATAATGAAACCTAACCAACTAATATCCTGTTTCTTAACAACACATCACTGAAAAAATGCTTATTCAGATTCAGATTCTTACAATAAGAGCAGTTACGGTTACCCTGACCCTAACCTTATTTTGGGGGAAATGAAAAACATGTTAAAAACTTTGCTTGCTAATTCTACCCAACAGAAAATAAGTTGCTTTACAGAGATCACTGCCTTGATCTTCCTGTTTTTTCAGTATGCTAGGTATAATGAATTGGTAAGCAGAAAACCAAAAAAAAAAGAAAAAGTTATTGATAGCTAAGACTCATCTCATCGATTTCAACCCATAAAATATTAATTTAGTTTGTATATTTCTGATAAAAGTCATGGCGTAGGCTGGGTTACCTGAGAGGGACATCCCCCCACCCTTCAATTACATTTTCCCACCCCATCATATCTGGCAAAGAGGGCACGCTGTAGTCATGTCTTGTCAGTGAATTGCATTTCACAAGTTCCAGGAGACAAGCCTTCTTTGACATAGCAACTCTCTTCTGGAATCCCCCTCGCCTCAATAGAATGGGGTTTCAATATTTTTAGTTGCACTTACAAGTCAAACCAATGAAAAGAAGCCAGACTTCTAATTTTATGTGAATAAAAGGCCATTAGTGAATTTTAAATGTAACACTGGAAAACAATGACAAAAATAAATCCTGTACCTAATTTCTTTATTGATGGCATCCAATTGCTCTTGAAGCATCATGGCTAAGGTCTGGGCATCTGCCTGACCACTAGGTGACAAGAGGTCAACTGAGCTGAATATAGTTTCTCTGTCTTCTTCGCCGTCTGAGATATCAGCATCACTCTCAAAAGCTTGTGCAACATTTGCCAACACACTTGCTTGTTGTGCACGTTCCCAATCTTGCTCATTAAGAGTCTGAACCTGTTTAATATACATGATTACAGCTGTAACTTTTAAGTATCTCTTCCATTTAAAAAAAATATAAAGTGCGTATAACTTCACTTACATGCTGCAGAAATCAATCACAACAGCAGTATTTAGAATGCAGTAAAAGCAAAACAAACATTATTAGATTATATTCACGGGACATACTTTATGATCAAAACCCAAGATATTAAATATATAAATACAACATTACAAAGTAACAATAAAGAAGACTTATTTAAAAACTTCTGTATATGTAGTTTTTAATAACAGAAAAAAAATCTATACAGATTAATAGCAAAGGATTCTAGAGTATCTTTGTTTAACAGAAAATAAATCATGTACTAGTGGAAACTGTCCTTTGATTCCCGTTTGGTTTCTCCTGCTAAGAAATACTTAGTGTGTCAACTATTGCTCCAATCCTGGTTTTTTTTCTCCTTTATCAGGCAGAATTCATAGGACAACACAAGCTTTATTTTATAACCCAGGCTTGTAAAGAAGGAACAAAGTAGGATTAGATGATTTACTCAATAAACTACACATGCAACTTGGTCTTGATAAACCAGGATCCATTAGAATCCCAGTTTATGTGAACATAGCATACAGGCTGGATCCAGATTTTCCTGATCAAATTTCACTTAAGAGCAACAGAAATGGGGGACAATTTTAGTAATTCTTTCAATGCTTTCTATGAGACTTGAAAATAGGTTGGTCTTTCAAAACAATGTGGGAGGTGCTGTGGAGGGAACGGGGAATTTGCAAGTATTAACCCTTTTCTATTATCTAGCAGGAGCAAGGCTGGGTCTGACTCTATTCCACAAAGGGAAATAGTTTTAAGTTGTGAAATACTAAGTCTAGATCTAGTCCCTATGCAAATGCTTTTTGATGTACTGATGAAGCTGTTGGATTAGTACCTGGGAGATTAGATTCAAGTCTACCCACAGTCATGGAAGCTCACTGGGTGATTTTGGGCCAATCACTATATGTCTCAGCCCAACCTATCATACTGGGCTGTTCTTGTGGAATAACAGTAGGAGAAAGTGCTATGTAAGCTGCCTTGAGCTCCTGGAGAAAAAGCAGGATATAAATGAAAGAATCAAAATAGCAGATGGAGGAGAACCATCGTAAACTAAAATTCTCTGTTTCTAGTTTCCCAGTAAGCAATGTTGAAATCAACTGTCTTATCTGGTTAATGCTACATATAAAGTGCCAATCAAACATTTAAAACAAGCTGCCCAACTCTGGGGGCTGAGTGCAGTAATCTATGAAAGGTTATCAAGCAAACATTCCACATAAATCTTATTTATTTTGCATACTTAGTACAATGCATTCTGAGTTATTGAAGTATTGTAAGTACCGTGTTTCCCTGAAAATAAGACCCTGTCTTATATTTTTTTGAATCCTGAAATAAGAGCTTGGCCTTATTGCTATATGCTCAAAAGCCCGATTGGGTTTATTATCAAGGGATGTCTTATTTTGGGGGAAACAGGGTAATGAATAGCCGTACTTAGTTCATGAACTGATCTATGAATGTAAACATACACATGGATTGAACTCTGCACAATTTTGCTTTTGCTAAGGTTACATTTTTGCAATTTATATTCCTATCTACCTCCTGCATCAAGACTTGCTCATAACAGCTGCTTCAAATGCATGTTTTTAAATACATAGTTCTCAATCATATAGCAAAACAAGCTACATGGAATGTTATTTACTTTAAAATAAAGATATTTCAGGGTAAACACTCTTCCCCAATATAAAACAATAAAAGCAACAATAGTACAGCCCAAGCCACCTATACATAATGGTATTAGCACAGTTTTAGACCAGATAAAAAGCCGACAAAATCTTTAAAGACTTATATCAATAAACTGAACCAGTTTAGTCTAATGGTTAATGCAATAGACTAGGAGCAGGGAAACCTAGTCCTGCTTTAGGCAAAGAAACCAACTGAGTGATTCTGAGCCAGTCACTTTCTCTCAGCCCTAGGAAGACAACAATGGCAAATCATTTTTGAAAACATTACCTAGAAAACTGCATGGATTTCTCCATGTATTTGATAGGGGTCAAGACTGACTTGAAGTTAAATTAATAAATAAGTATTTTTAAAATGGTGCACTAGCTTAAGCTATTTTCAAAATTAATTGCTTAAATTCCAGCTTACCCTTGAAGGTTCATCTCGCAGAGCTGCTAAGCGTCCTTTTTGTGGACGTCTTAGAACTGAGGTGCTGTAGGAATCTGTCTGATTGTCTGCTATAACTGAAGGTGCCAGTGGATATCTAAAATCTGGTACGCTACCTAAATGTGGCCCTCTGAAATGAAAACAGATGCACATTTAGCATTAATAATTACTGTCCTAAAGTTAGTTGTTGACAGTGAAATGAATTAATTTAGCACATCTTGAATGTAGAACTATTTTCACTAATAATTATACCTATGATGAAGGGTAGGGGCTCTGATCCTCAACTGGTCACTTTCAGCTCTTATTGCTTCAATGTTTACTACCAACTGATCCTGTAGAAAAGAAAGATTATTCACATAACTTAATATTATAGGTGCATATTTTTTTAAACATGTCCAAATATTTTAGATAATTCTAAATTGTAAATTGAATGCCTTTTGAATTAAAATTAAAATATATTGTGTTATCATCCAAATACTCTTCATTCTTTCATTACTGCTAGTATAGCTATGAATAATTTACTGATTCATCAAACATAGGTTTTGAAAAAAGATTAGTGAAGCAAAACACTTAAGATCCACAATCAGCTACAATTTTGATATCATTTTTTAAAAAAAACCTTAGAGTTACAAACCAAAAAGAATTCACAATTTGTGCATAATTTTAATGGGTTAATTATGTTTGGGCTACTACATTATCCTTGGCATTAAACCCTTAAAATTATGGAAAGTGAAATATTATTGTTAGTGCAAAATGACTGCAACAAAAAGGCATAATATATTAAACTTCATAAGTGTCTCATTTTTATTTTTGCTTTCATTACAACTTAAGACAACATTTTTATTTTCATTTTACCTTTTCATTTTGAAGCTCCTCCACTTGTTTCTTGGTATTTTCAATTTCACGGAGAAGGGAATTCTAGTATTAAATTTAATGCAAAAGTTCATTAATACAAAGAGCTGTTAAGATTTGGGTCTGCATTTTTTTAAAAAAATACTTTTTACTATTTTACTTTTTTGATTATAAAATACTTAATTCTGCTATTTGTTTTAGTTGATATATATACTCATTGCACCCTTTCTGCTAAACAAGGCCCTATGCTTTCTACTTATTTAAAAATAATATTATTTATTTCTTGATCCCGAGATCCTAAGTTTCAGGATAGGAAGATGCATAATAGTTAATTCAGTGCATTGTATAAGTAGATATAATTGCTCTTTGTTGCCTATGAGAAAGGCGAGATTGTAGCACTAGATTGTCCTCACTTTTATCTATTAACAGCTGGGGATAGATGGATAGATGGATATAGACAGACAGAACTTTGCATGTTTATAGTTTTTACAAATGTTTTATCAATTTATCCAGCATCCACTGCACTTGAAGCAATATTTATTCATATTTAAAATTACTTTATCTTCCAGAGCTGCCATTCTTTCTTTAAGGTGAAGCTGAAGTCTCTCATTAGATTCAGATAAAAGTTTATCAACTGTATCAGATAAACGTTTATTATGTTCTTCATTCATCTTCTCTCTTTGCCGAGCCTAAATAAGAGGAATAGGAGGAAAGGGCGATAAAAAATAAATAACAAGAATGAGAACGACTATCTTTTGCATACTTAATATATAAACTGTCTCAACCCTGGATTTTTATCATTCTCTAATAGGATTTATCCTTGTTTTTCCAAACGTGATACCTAGCAAATTTTATATCATTACCATTTAAGTTAACTCTTTTGAAAAGCCACAAGAAATAATAATTAGTGGAAATAATAGGCATTTGTTCATATAGTCCCCAGATGCCAATCCTGATTCAAGTGAAAACTGTTGTGTGATTTTAACATTAATATTTAATTACAGGTAGCTGATTCTGTTCCTACTTAACCCTTTAGTGCTATCTAATTTGTTTTTTTACTGGTATTTCATGTATTCTCCTAGACAGGTTTTACCCACCTTATTTAACTTCATGTAGGTTAGTAAACTATGCTTTCCTCTGCCAACCTGAAATTAATAATTGATTTTTTTATGTCACAGAAAAGAGACACAATGTCATCACTGTAATGACATACCCTTAGAAGTTCTTGATTTTTCTCTTCTAGCTGTGTTTCCATTTGTCTCAATCGTTCTTCAATGTTTCCGTGTCTTTCTTCAGCCTGCCATTTTAAATAATAGTAGTAATTAAAATTTAAGAATGCAACAGAAGAAAAATATTAGCAAACAAGCATATCATGCTGTATGAGACTGCTATTTTTTTTCACACACTGCAAGATGTTCAAAATATATTACTGCCAAGGCTGGCAAAACACAGTGGATGAATTCATGCATCAAATGAGCAATTTATTTTCTCACCCCATAACATCTTGCTATGATGATTGAAGCAACGGGAAGTCTTGACAAAAGAGATACCTTTTACATTATGCATCTCAGAAAAAAAACTCTTATTATCTTCCCCACATTCATTTTAATGTGTGAAGATTTTTTTAAAAAAAAACAACAACAAGCAGTAGCAAGCAGAAATAAGGACTTAAGTCCTTTGTGTAAATTCTACCTTCCTAGACTGGGAAGTATATTCGAACAGATTAACATCTTTAGTTGCAGAATTCCGAGAAGGCAAACAGTCAAGCTACAAAAATAAGGAATAGAATGGTAGCAAGAAAAAAAGGAAATGAAGTGACATCAAGAATTTACTTTTAAATATTGGGTACAAAATTGCTGGAGTACTTAATTTATCCTAAGAACTGGAAAAAGAGTTTCTAAGACAGTATTCAAATCAGGCACAAAGGGTATTTCAACATCTTTAAAGCAATTAAAAACAATGAACTGCTATACAAAGGATTAGAAAGCAAGATAAACAGAGAGACTAGATTAGACAATTTGAATTACCTGGTTAAAAATGAAATGCGAGAAACCCCAAATGATCAAGAACCAACTGTTTCTTCTAAATATATATCATAACACTCAGCCTACCTTAGTAAGTGCAGCTACTCTCTGAGCCAATTCAGCCTCTACTTCTGGCAGAGTTTCAGCTTTTCTCAGAGTTTGCTGCAATTTTTGTTCAGCCAGTTCCAATCGTTCTTGTAACTGCCTATTCTTATCTTCACTCTAGAAGCAAAAATAAAGTTGCTTATAGCAACAGCTGCAGACATTATTCTGTGTGATATTTCAATAGTTTGTCCATTAGCAAAAAAACCTTGTTAGCAAATTGACATGTGAGATCATACAGAACAGTTCCTGTGTAATCAATGAAATTATATACAACACAGTATTCAAAAGCAGATTTATATATGACCATTACAAAAAGTACATTAGTACATAAAAATAAACATAAAATTATGTTTAAAAACTTTCTTTTGTCTGCCCTAATTGAATATTGGGATTCAGTTTTATTGGGTAAAACTGAACTTTTGCAAAAGTGCTATGGATGCCACTGCAAAATATTTAAATTCCTGTTCATGAAAGTGCTATTATGGAAAGCATAAAGGTAACAAAACATCTTTGTACTAAATGCACGTTTAGGCAAAAAGACACATAAAAACCTGAGTAAAAGGGAAATCGTAAATAAAAATATCACACAGATTTCATAATAAAAAGACAAACACTAATTGAATGCACTCACTCCATGTAAATCCTAACCTTTGTAATTATCTTCTGTTATCCAGCCCTGATTTTGCTCCCCATGAGGGTGCTTTATTTCCTTCATCCCAAAACCATCCAAACTTGTGACAGCAACTAATGGTAAGCAACCACCTTATTTTTTTTCCTCTTTCAAGCTTAAAAGGCCTACTAATTCCATCCTGAAAACACCAAGAATAGCCATTCCGTGAAGATCTCCTCAGAACTACCAAAGAAGCATTTTTGTTGAAGGAAAAATATAAAAAACGGAAAGCATGAAACCTTCTTATAACTACAAAACCTGAGACAATCCTCAATTTTCTAGGTTTTCAGATTTAAACTGTTCCCTTTCCTTTCCACAGGGGATTTCATTTATAATTTAAATTTTCAAAAAAAAGGGCAACAAATTTGCATAAATTTTATCCAAGTCAAATTAGCTTGAATTATTAGGTACATCCCCCTCCTGATCCAGAACTTTTAGTATTAATTTATGAAAACCTCAAAGTGTTTTTTAAATAATAAGTTTACCTGTCGATGCAATGAATCTTTGTTAGCAATTTCATTTTCAAGTTTATCATTAAGATCATGCACAGATGTAGCTTCACGTTGTGCAGCGAGGTAGCGTTTTTCAAGAGTTGTAATTCTTTCTTCCATATCTTCTTTCTGAGCCATTGCCTAAATTAACATTGTCAGAAAATTACAGAAATATATTCTCCCTCTATTATGTGTTTAACAGGTTGTCTTTAAAAAAATAATAGCTTTTATTGTAGAAACCCAAGGGAATGATCCAAAGAACCATATGGGGTACAATTTGTAACAACTGCAGCTTTGTTTAATGTTACATATCTTAAAGATATTGCAAACTGCTAATTATACTCAAAACATTCACCATTAAAAGTGCAAACATTCCAAATATATATTTAATTTTGATATTTGAGGAAAAATTTGAAAATAATTACATTTGGAAATAGAAATAAGCTATTTAAAGAAAACCTCCAAAAATTCCATCAGAGGGGGGAACTCTTTTAGCCCCAAAATTTTATTTTAAACATTGCATATATACCAAGTACCTACATTCTTATTCTTCTTAGAGGAAGCATAATAGAACATCTTTTTTTAAGGATCCATCAATAATTAACATTACCGAGCTGGCCAATTTTAGAAGACATAATAAGATCAATAGATCTGAATATGCTGAATTAACATTGTTCTGTGTGATCATCATACTGATTCACATAGCATGGAAATCAAGAACAATTGAGTTTTTAATAAAAACAACTATAAAAGCAGTTGTTGTTCTCAGGTTGAGAACTTATTGATATAGTTGATGGAAATATCCTAAACCTAGTGTTTACATCAGACTATAAGATGCTTTAACTCATGGGGAAAACAAGTACACAGAATAGTGAATACAATTAATTAATTTAAATCATATTAAAAAGTCTTATTCTTACCTCTCGTACATCTCTTTGCAATTTCGTGTTCATTTCTTCAGATTTGATTAGATCTTTTCTAGCAGTATCAAGATCTTCTTCCAGTTCTGCTACTCTGTTAGAAAGGGCAGTAATTCTCTCTTTCATTTGCGACTGTTCTTTAGTTTGCTTTTCTATGGTATCTTGAAGTTCTATTACTTTAGCAAGATCTTCATCATGATTCAAAGAGCCATTGGAAGATCTCTATTCAGAAGAAGAAAAACCCACTGTTAATTTTAAAAAACTTTTAACACCATGAAAGCATAAATATGTGCAATATATTTTTTCATACTGAACCAGAGGTCCCCAACCTTTCCAGCTTGGTGGCCCGGTGTGAGGGGGATGGGGGATAGTTCCGTGCGAGTGACAGAGCTCCATCTTACCACTTACAGCTCCACTCTCACGAGTGGCAGGTGCTTGTGCAGTTCCACTCACACAAGTGGAGCTGCACACACACACACGCACACGCACACACACTTGCATGTGCAGCTCTGTTCATGCAAGCGACAGTCACTTATGAAGCTCCATTTGCGTGTGTGGAGCTGTGTGCCCAAGTGCTGCCACTCACATGATCGGAGTTGCATGCGCTAGTGCCCATTGCTCGCACAAGTGGACCTGCATGCACATGCATGCTCACAGGCCACTCGCTTAGCCCAGTTCTGAACTGTTCACTACCTGAGCCACAGCCCAGGGATTGGGGACCCCTGTACTAAACCAATGATTCAAGTGAGAACAAAAGAATTCTTATTACTTTTCAGGATGTTTTTTTCCCACTGGTCCTCACTCAAAAATTCAAGAACCAACCCAAAACATTTTTTTGCCTGAAAATGATATTTCTCTTATTACTTGAACATCCTCTATCAAAGAATGGTATTGTATATGGATCAAATGATCGAGAAAATAACACATTAGCTTACTTAAGTTACTTAACAAATTACTTAACAAATAGCTTACTTGCTCTTTTTTTCATTGGAAAAGTTTGGAAAAATAAGTTAGACTGTTCCATCATAAACAGATTTTATCGTCTCAAAAAATTGAGTAAAAAGGCTAATGAAAAGATGCTTTTAACATACCTTCCCATTAGTGCTAGGTATGTTCTCCTGATCATGATTAATATCGGGCATTCCATCAGCTTGTGTTCTTTTTTGATTGTTTTGTTCTTTCAAAATCATTAACTGAAATAAAAATAAAATACTATATTAATTGATATGCTGTATTTCAAATAGAAAAAGGACCGTTTAACCAATATTAATTATTTGCAGTGATAATATTCACAAAATATATTCATGAATGGATAACAATGACAGACATATTAATGACCTTGATTTTGAAGAATTATGATCAATTCCTATAATCTATTCAGAAGATATTTATCAAGTAACAAGCCTGCCTTTAAAATATAATACAAAAAAAACCGAACAATAAATCAGCAATTGTCATATATTTAATTAGTAAACAAGATTGGTCAATTGATTAACATAAGCGAAAACATTTCAAGTATCTGCTAATGAAAACTCATTCCTTGATGAAAAAAGATTCCATGAAAACTTAATATCTACACAATTATAAACCTGGACAGGTGATTTTTAGAATTCTGAAAAAGTTCAAGAAAGCGGTAGTGGAAGCTTGCACATTTTTTAAGCTGGACAAAATAATTAGTAGTTCATAAACTGCAAACAGGAAAGTATCAGGGCATGCCTTTCCAGTCTGGTCATCTAAAAAAACCTGCTGAAAGTATCCTCTTTTTGCAAGCTACATGAACAAACAAAAAAGCCCAACCTGTGGAATATCCTCCCGACATAAGTACATGTAGTTCCAACTGCATTATAATTGCAATGTTAATTCCATAAACAAGTTAAATCTATTTTATTTCACTGTGACTTTGCTCACCTGACTGAGGTACATCTACTTTGGAATTTGATTTTCCAGCAAGGTATTAATTTTTCCCATGAAATCTCTCTCACACACCTCTCAAAGACCCCCAGTTTTGGTCCTACCTATTTCATACTACATTATAACACTAGCCAAATTTCTCAAGGCCAAAGAAATTGCCCTGGTTACAATTAAGCTTTCCCTTCCCTTGATAGGTCTTATGCAAACCTGACAGCTTTTTTTTTGTAGTTTACTGGAAATAACTTACCTCTTTGTGTGTAGTACCTAGTTCTTCCTCCAACAAGCTACATCGTTCAAGTGCTACTCGTAATCTTTCTCTTACCTAGGAGATTAAAGTTAAGATATAAACACCAAACAATTCTGCTAGCATTAGATGCTGAAATGTTCAGTAACTATCAAGAATAAACTTATATCAGTAATGTTGGTGAGCAGGGATAAATCTTAAAAACAACACAAATTATCGACACATTTCTTGTGAATGGAACCATCAAGTGATTAAGCAAACCTAATAATAACCCATTATGCATTTTCTATTACTTTTGATGGCAATATGTTTCTGCAGCAGAAAGCCCCAATGGGCTAGATTATATGGTATCTTTTTAGACTAGTCATATGGCCCATAATTATGAAAATGATTGTGAGGTATTATGAAAGTTGTAATCCATCCATGGAAGTACTGGACACCTCCCCTCAAACTTTATAACTTAGATGAATTATTTGTCAGAGCCGAAATTTCAATTAATGCCAAATACTGCTATATTAGTTGTGATTTATGTCATATACCAGAACTGAGGCAACATTAATAATAATCTTTGCCTGAATAAAAATAGAAGGGCAATATTTATTTTTGCTTCATTTTATGATTTAGGCCAACTTTAGGCCACCCATTTTGAATTTTGGTCTGTTGATATACAAACAAAACGAATTACATAAGCAATAGATGTTTAGTCTATATTTCCATTTTAACAAAAACAATACCAGAATGCTCTTAAATGAAAGAACTAATTTTTACACTAACAAAATAAAAGTTACTGTATGTTTTTAATATACATATTCGGAGTTACTGTACACTGCTTAAAGTTTTCTTGGAGCTAGGCAGTCTTAATGAATCCTATAAAATAAATAAATAAAAACATTTCATGAAGAGGAAACATCAGTAATCATTTACCTTTTCATCAAGGGCTTTGTGATGTTCAAATAGAGACTTTAGTGCTTTGAGAACTTCAACTTCACTAGAAACACCAGCTGGAGATTGAGCTTGTCTTTTTACTACGGTCATTCTTAAAGACCTTTCATGCCGGGAGACAAGGCATTCCAAATGTTCTAGTAGTAACTGAAAAGCAAATGCAATTACATGAGAAAAAAGCAGTATATATTGAACTGAAGAAAATAATGTTCAAACATATTTCACTATCAATGAGACACAATTATCACTTTGTTTTTGCAAAGCTATTTTCTCTGTAAAGCTATGCAAGTTATATCCATTTATTATATATTATCATTTTGAAGCTGAACATAACTTACAGAAAAAATGCACTTTCATAATATACATAGCAATCTATTCATTATTCAAAACTATGAAAATCTAAGCTTTCAGTTTTTCTTCTATTTTTAAAAAAGCAAGTATCATCCTAGTCCAGTCCTTAAGTCTTATTGATGTCTAAAGACCAAAAAAAAGTGCACAAAAATTGCTCATCTAACCCTGAATCTCAGCAATGCAAAGAAAAAAAATGTTTATGTTTATCTTCTTAACTGATGTAATGGAGAACATGATAATGTTGAATGTTTCTGATTTAGCTGCTGAAGTTATCCAGATAATTCATGATTTATGACTGGTCCCTTAGCAACTGTTCGAAGTTCTGACAGACTACAAGCATGGCATTTATGAAATGGTTTTGAAGTTCTGATGTCCACACAATATATGATCACATTTTGAGTTCTCAGCAACTGCCCTGTATTTATGGTCATTTGCAGCACCCAGCATCTGTGATTTACAATGTTTTTGCCAGAAACCAATGGTTATTGCCAATTTCTGGCAAAAACCACTCCATAGCAAACAAGGGATTTGTTTAACAATCATGACATTCACTTAATGACTGCAGCGTCTGCTTAATGACTGCGGCATTTGCTTAAAGACCACCAAAAAAATAATAAAATTGGGTCTGGTCATGTGGTGACCCACTTTATGACCATCACAACTTATGACCGAAATTGTGGGTGCTCTCATGGATGTAAGTCAAGGGCTACCTGTAAGTTACCTTAAAACTAGGAAGGAAAATCATATTAAAATATGCAATAACAATATAAGTATAATAATATAAACATTATTTGGTTTTATATACTTAGAGATGTCAATATCATCTACATAATTTTTTAATACTCTACAGAGCATATAAATACAGCAGACATTTCTCCATGTCAGAAGCTTTACATGTTACAAAAGAACTTTGTTGCATCACTTTAAAGTGAGTGATATTTGGGGAGGAGGAATTTAAAGGTTAAATTACTACAAAACTAACTTACACAAATGCATTGAAACTTTATTAGGGAAGCCTATAATCATGCACACTTCTACATTCTCATTGTTTTAATCTGAAGTAGCTTGTTCACTTACATTCTTTTTAAAAATGGGCCACTTCAAAAAAAGAAAAGAGTGCCTTTTAAATATTTGTTATAAAATCTGACTATATATGTACCATCTTGAACACTTTTCTTTCAAAAATGTATCTCTAACTCTAATTCCTTTAGATAAGTAGAAATTGTTCTGAAAAGATTTATCACCAAACTTTGTGCTTGACAGATTTCAGGTTTCACAAGAGTGCATGTAAATCATGGATTGCTAATCTCTGCTTTGAATGATTTTGCATTCATTAAATAGTGATACACCCAATGAAATGTAAATTCATGACAGCCAGTTGAGTTTACCTTTCTCATATATGTATTGTGTAATAAAAGCTTGGATTAATAGGTTAGGATAATGACTGCAAGGATCAACTTTGAGTCTCTTAAAAAAAAACTCAGTTAAAAAATCGCTGAGACTATATATTAATAATCTGCAGTTAGAAAGTCAAGAGTTTTGGTGTATGAAAATCATATTTAATAACAAGGGAACAAATTATCCTACAGAAATATTATGTAAGATAAAATACACAGTCTTGATACATGAAATGTTTTTCATACTAGGCGGAAATTGCCAAAATTAAGGCAGGTAAAGAAAACTAATAATTTTATTCACTTATGGAAAAAAACTGCATGTAAGGTTTCATTTCAAGAAAAATTCCTAGCACAAAATACAAACAAATGATACCAGAAGATGAACTGACTCTTGTATTGTTTCTTTCTGCTTTCAGTTCTGCAATTTCCTCTTCCCTTTCAAGGAGTTGCTCTCTGCATATGTTAAGCTCTTTAGTAAGTGCTGCAAACTCCTGAAAAATATAAGCAAATAATTATAAACATTTACTGCAATGTGCAGTATATACAGCAATATAATATAGATAACTTTAACTGAAGTTATAATACTAAAATAAAATACTATTCAGGGTATCTTAATATCACTTCTAGCAGTCATGATTATTCTTTATAGAGCAGTACTCAACACTAGTCATTCTATTTCATCCAAGCCTTCTATTTCTAAAGTTCGGATGAAAATCACTAGGGAATCCCCAAGTTGAAAGTAAGTAATGGTAGACACTTCTGATAAATGTCAAGAAAACAGCATAGTTCTGTTTATGTTATTATCTGGAGACCATCTCAACTCAAGGGCATGTTTATGTTTTTAAAGAATAAAAAATAGTAATGCTAATGTTAATATTATTCTAAGTATGTAAATTTAATTCTATTATATGATGTTGGATCATTCTGGCATACACAAATATAACAACTTTGAATATTATTACATCTTCGAACAGAATTCCTTGTGCTATCTACTGTACAAGACTCAGCTTGTTTTCTGTTTTAAAACAGAGTATGATTTCTGGACAAAGAAATTGTGCCAGAAATTACAGAGTTAGTAAATAGTTAAAAATTACACATCTTCTCACAAAAATTGAGGAAGAAACAGGAACTGGATGTCAATGAGAAAACTTTTCCCATAAAAAAAATCAGTGATTGGACCAAACTCATCCAATGAACGGTTGTAGCCAAGATAAAATAAATTTGATGATGAATGAACCCAGGCAGAACAATCAATTTGTGGAATAATTAGCAAAATTAAGCTTGATATTGCTTATAGGAGATTCTCCCCAAAATTTTACATGCTTCAAAAGTTTGCATTAAGGATTTTGTGTTCCATTTTCTTTACCTTTTGGCTCTAGTGTCTAGCTTCAAGGTCTCATTATAAAAAACAAAATCAAATCAAAGTAATCTCCTTTTTCCCATTAGAAAAATATCTTCCAAATAATTCAAAACCATAATTCCAAATCCCAGCCTCCTTAATCTGCTACTAACTTTCCAAAATCCACATATCATTTTGTAGCACCATTTTGCTACATAGTCCAAACAATCATGTTTTAAAAACTATTTAAATCAAATTTACTCCATCATCTTTTAAGGAAGTGGAAACTCACCCGATGAACATAGTAAAATCGTGCCAGTTTGAAGGATCTTAAATCTCTTCAAGATACAAAAAAAGAATCAAAGATTTGATTAAAATATAAGACATGGTTGAACTTAATTTAATGTAAGGGTTGCTTTGGAAACATGAGCTTGATGTAAACCTGTCTCCAGTCACTCCACATATAAGCTGACTGTAAAGGCAGTTTCTGAAGTCTACTCACAAGGAGCAACTATCTGGAGTCAGATGAATGATCTCAATGAATTCTCCTTTGTTACAGAGAATTACACCAGCTTGGATCCAGTATCCAGTCACAATTCCCCTTACAAAAGCTGTCTTGCTAGCCTGCAAAAGATCAGTTCACCATAAAGCTCAAACAAACTACCTGATCCAAATATTATCCCAATACAAAAGCTTGAAAACTATACTACTTCTACATGAATGAGCTTAAATAAACTTCCCACCATCTTGTGACGCCATATTGGAGACAGTAATCTGTCTGAGAGTACTACTTAGATTTACACCAGATGTAACAGTCTACAACTTGCAGATGCTTTACATATTTTTCTTCAATTAAACTTCTGGCTTTACCCTTAGAGACAAAAATAAACACATCTCTTAAACTATTATCAGAACATAGGAATACAGAACATAGGAATAACTGTCTATATATATCCATGTTTGAGGATTTAGAAAGGGGTAGCAAATAATGCTATTAATCAGAATATTAAATATAGTTTGGATAATTCCAGAAAATATTATATGTTCAAACAATCTTTCTCACATTTTACCAGTTCCTCTTATGTTCTTTACTTTATGGACCATCTGGAGTCAGGTGAATTGAGCAAACTAAATCAATTAATAAGCTGTCAGGACTCAGGTTAAATCCAACAATAATTTATACAGTAACAATTATTTCCATTTTAGTTATTTTCAAGATAGTCAATCCCATCTCCCAATTCCAGAAAATCTAATATTGAAGTTTCTGACACATCTTAAGCACCATAGGCCTGAGATATTTTTGCTGAACATTCTTACTTTCCTCTTAGTACATTGGGCCCAAGTGAAACTAATGTAAGATCATTGTTCTACGCCTCTCCCTGAATGTCCAGAAATTGCCTATTACATTTCCCCTTTCTTCAATATGGACAAGTTAGACTTCATTAGTTTGGTTATGATATAATGAATATGTGCCCATGCACACACAAACATCCACACGGCACTGCTTGGTTTGTTTCATGACCTGAGTAAAGCAGGAGATAGTGAGGATCAAGAGGCTCACTCTTATCCTTCCACTTAAGATTAAATGTAAATTTTTCTTCCTTATGCCATGTAATTTTTCATACCTAAGTATTATCCACAGTGTGCAGTTGGAAAAAATATATAGCGAAAACGTTTCATGGGTGAAAAGTCATTTTTTTTACTATTTCCCTGTCAGTCCTTCCAAACACCCGAGAATTTTATTTTCATGAATTATGTCAGGAGAAGTCCCCACAATCAAAATTTAAAAATATTGCTGGGAAAATAAAATAGATTACAATTCCATGTTCACCTCTTTCTAGGAATAAAGAACAGGTGATTAAAAACCCATTTAGCTCCTTTCTGTCTGCTGCTCCCTCCAGAAATTGAAGCTCTAATCCTTATTTAGGAATGAAATACACTAATCTACTTATACAATGTGTGGGAAAGCCAAGGGAGCCTATTTTAATACAGTTTAGAATACAAATATAATAAAGTTCATTATTATTTTAAATGTTTTATGCAATGATTAAAAATTCTGAACAAACAGATTAGATTGCTCTGGACAGCAGTTGATATTTTTATAATCTTGTGAATATTATACCTATTTATGATGATTTTGCTCTCATCATATTTGTATCTTTAAAATACTTGACTATTTGACTAATAGGGGTAAAAATAACCAGCTGATCAACAGAAGGATACATGTATCTTTTGACAGTCATGGGTAACTTTTAGAAATCCAACTACTGCCATTTTAAATTAAGGGAAAGCTTACCACAAATATTCTTTTTTCCCTTTTTAAACCAAGGATTGGAGAATCAAACTTGCTATTGTACTATTTAACTTCATAATGAACTTATTGCTTTTATGAATTTTGTCCCCATATGCAATAATGTCTAAAAGAAGTATATGGCAATAGCTTACATTTTCAGCAACTACAATTACTCAACTTTTTTTTCTAATGCATCTCTCCTATGCTAATTTACCTAAAAAAAAAAATTTAGCAGAATTTTATATGAAAGTTATTGTGCATTTAAAGTTGGCAATGGTAGTTTAATATTCTGTTATCCTTTTTTAAGGCATTTATCTGCAGTATTTGAGGAGGAAAGGAAAAGCATTTCTCTAAATCACCTCTTTTTAAATGCATAATGCAAAGGAGAAAATAATGTTTTAAAATAATTGAATAATCCAGTAATTCTAGTTTAACAAGTTTGTAACATGAGAAAAAGAATTTTTTCCAATAAATCTTAAAAGCATTAATTGCTTCTTATATCACTTTTAGATATTGTATTCTGATAAAATTAAAATTCTCATTTTTGCTAACATCTGACATTAAAAGATAAATGATATTGAAAATTAATGAAAATATTGCTGAACAATGATAACTATCAGAATCTTAGAGTAAGAACTAAATTCTTATTTTGACAAATGATATGCATACTAATGAACATTATTATATTGTCACTTTGGAACTGATTTTGCATGGATAAAAAGATAAAATTATTTTTGTGATGTTTAACTGATGGCACTGTTTACCATTCTTCCGTTTTACTATTCTTACATATCCTAATTAAAATAAAGAACATAAAAGAATAAAAGTCTACAAGAGTTATTTCTTGAGTAAAAAGAACAGAATGCTATTTAAAACCTATTTCTAATTTGGCTTTTTAGCAGTAGCAGAATCAAGAAATACATTTCACAACAAAAATCAAAAGGTTATAGAGTAAAGCAACTAAGCTCTTTTCTGCTTACTTGGGTCATCATATTGGAATGCAAGCAGACAGAACTGTTAGACTTGACTTAAGAGGCTTTAAGAATTTACTGAAGTGTAGAGGATATAAAATGTGTTGAGAAGAGCTTTCTATTGCCTACATCATCAGAACATGTGTAAGTAGAAATAAAGAAAACTAAACATTTAAGTGTTTTATGCCATCAATACAAAATGAGCATTAATTTTAAACATTAATATTTAAAATGATTTGATTTTTGTCTCTTTAGCAACTAAAATTCACAGCAAAATCCAGAATATTAAACCCAACAGCCTGGAAAACAAATCAGTTGCTAAAAATGTTTATACTATATTTTTAATTTTGCCTGTTTTTACTACACTCTGCTTTCAGTATTATACAACATAATATATTGTAAAGCAGAACAACTAATTGGACAAAATTACTGCCTATTTTATGTTAACATGAAGGAATTTTGAGAATACAATTTCACTATTTTAATGTTCTTCCTTACAGAATGCATTCCACTTTTCACAAACTAAATAGCTATAATTCACCATGTAATTTCAATTATAACTTTTCATAACTTATTCAGTATTTGCATACACTTCCCATTGTGTAATCCCCCCCAAAGATCAATTAAATGATGCAATGTAAAGGCCACAATTTCAAATACTACAAATCCAAATGCTAGTTTACTATTTCTAAAATGTTTAATATTAAAAATTTAAGAGATATATCTACCAATAGAACAACTGCATCTTCTTCCCTAGCCATCTCCTGAACTGTGCTCTACACATCTGGAAGAACCCTCCAGAGCAAATAATAGTGGTTTAAAAAGGCTGATTTGTGGTGATTACAATAAGAGAATATTCTGTGCAACAGTATAGAAGTAGCTTACCAT